CCCCCCCATATTGCAATGGAATGCAAGGTGACCCATCCAACCTCCTCTAAATGAAAGAACCCAGAAAACTTTTGTTGTGTTTTATTCAGTCAATCTTTTTATCCCACTCGTTACTTGTGGGAAAGCACATGAGTGAGAGTGCGTGCTTGTGAGCGCACGCGCTCTCATTCAAAGCAGCATACTTCAGCTGTTAAGGACATTGAGGTAACTTAACGGCCAATAATTTCTGAGAACATCTTCCATGATCACTTGTAAAACAAAATGAGGCAAATTGGAAAGCAACCAATAAAAATTAAAATTCAATTTCAAATTATCGTTCGCCTCCATTCTTATGGCTGTCATGTAAAAAAATCTGTATTTCTTAAAATCAATTCCCTCGTCTCCAGACACCAACATAGTTGAAGCCTCAATCCTTTAAATATTTAGGGCATTGTCAAGAGCTTATCACTGTATAAAAAGTATAAGAACACTAATTATAAAATGCCATTTTCAGAAAGAAAGACTACCAAACTTTGCTTCTAAAATCCAATTCCCAAAAAAACCCTATTCATTATTCTTTTTACAATTTGCTATCGCGGCAATTGTCCTACCTGAGTAACACTGATTCCTCATTCCCAGCTTCATATTAGCACGAAACCAGGTTATTTCCAACTTACCCGAGTCAATATCCTTATCACATTCTTTCGCAATGTGCCCAAGTTTGTTGCATTTGTAACAGCGGTCCTGGTCCATTCGACACTCTCTCGCGAAGTGACCTGCTCTGTTGCATTTGTAGCATTTATCTGCGGATGGGACAAAAAAAAACCAAGGTTATATTCAATTAAAATTTCCAAGTGGCTTGTGAGGCAGGTTCAAACATTGCAAAATTTTAAACATTCTTTCTTAAAAACTACATTAATCTAATTTTAAACATACTGGGCAGAAATTAGTTGAATTTACTCCACCTATCATAGAAACAAATAACATTGACCTTTAAATTTCTTAAAATAAATTGTACAAGCTCGACCAAAAAATTTGATGTATCTATTTCCATTGGGCTTTTGTCAACTAGCCTCACATTTGCGTCGAATGAATAAAAATTAACAATAAAAAAAGTTCTTTACAATACTGAACACAAGGCATGACAGTAAAATACCTAATTTAATACAATTTATTAAAGTCATTACCTCCAGGTCTTCCGTTGCGGAAGTCCATTCTCATGGGACCACCACGATCCCTCCCAAAGCCACCTCCACCACCAATTCCATTGCGACAATCCCTGGCCCAATGACCCGGCCTTCCACACTTGTAACAATCTCCACCGCTCATTCTCAAGACAACTCTGAGAAAAAGAATGGAATAATAAGTACTTTCAATCCATAAATATTTCACAAACACAAAGTAGCAAATGCCAATGAAAATTTAAATTTTCACTTTAGCCCTTTTTTATTTGGTACCTAAGAAAGAATTTTCAATTCTAAGAATTATGCTTCTTGAATTTTAAGAATCGGTTCATAAATTAAAAAGTTATGGGGTTGTAACGGTCGGCAAAATATGGATGACCCACATATAGGAAAATACTCCTACAAAATGGACCACGCAGTCACGCAGTAGCAGATTCTGTAAGAAAATCCCCCCACTGTGATGCTACAGGGGGATAGAGAGAAAAACAACCGGATGCGCGCGCCCGCCATTGCCCTATTTCAAGTGACCAATGAACGGGCCCGGAATAGTCATGCGGGGATTTGTAGGTCATACATTTGCCGCGAGAGTGAGGGAAAAATGGCCGGTCTCCGTGCGAAGCCGCTTTGGATAGGGGGGTAGTCCTGCATTTATGATCGAGTCTAAACAACTACTTGACACAGAACGTTCAAATTTGAGCACACTATAGAGGATAGATAGATCTATTACCATCTCGGCGTTGAAATTCAAACTCCATATAGTTTTCGGTGTACACGATACTAAAGTGTTCCCGACACCAAAAGTATAGGTTAATTTATACGAACTTCAACAAAACTTATATATGTAAACTTTATAGTTAGGCTCACGGCAGTCATGGCAGAGCAAAAAGTGAAAATAAGAGCGTGTACCGAGAGCCGGAGCTGGAAGGACTGAGAGCGTGCAAAGTGATGCTGAAAACCTGGCAATCAGTGAATCACTGCATCATGGACTAAAGAGTGGATTTTTTTCAAAATGCTAAATCCCAGTACCAGTATTTAATCAGCAACAAGCTATCATGATGCATCTAGGCATCCAACATAGAGCTTTCCGAGGGTTGAAAATGGCATTTCCTCATTGCCACTATTCAATTTGTCATCACTGACAAATCCGACAAGGTAGTGTATACAGACCCGGTAACCGGGAACAAAGTCACAAAGTATACAGACCCGGTAGGGGAACTCTTTTGTGATTTCGGAAAGTTTCAGCGCCCTCTTGGCTCAGGGTGGACCCAGGTTCTTCTACATCTATGGCCTAGGTCTAGATCTAGACAGACATAAATCATTGATCCAGTTTCGAGGCTAGCCTAGATCTAGATCTAAATGAAGATTGCGGATGTCTTTCCGATGAACAATCGCTTTTCCTCCGTTTTGGAGTTGGGAGGAATCACAATTTGAAGAAAAGAACATGTCATAATTTCAATCGAGCTGTCACCCTCTCTATTTCTCTGCCTGTCTCTCTCTCACTCCTCTGTCTCTGTGTATTGCTCACATTCTCTTTTTCTTTGTTTTGTCTGTCTTTCTTTCTCCCCACCTATTTCCCACTCTATCTTTCTCTCGTTCCCTCCTGCCAACTGGGGTATGTCATACATTTTGCTAGCATAGCACTTCCCCCTGATCTCTCTCTCTCATACACGACACACACACACTACCAGGTCTGGGCGCTGAAACTTTCCGAAATCACAAAAGAGTTCCCCTACCGGGTCTGTATACTTCGTGACTTAGTTCCCGGTTACCGGGTCTGTATACACTTCGACCCAACAAATCCGGGAAAACCAACCTTGAAGATAAAATCATCAAGCCTGTTCCCTCATTTACGCTCTCAATTGTCGAATGTCAAAACCACTTCCATTTATCGTTTTTATTTTAGCATCAGTTTTTTGCACAGCGTCGTAGACTTTATTATTGCGTCAAACACCTCCCTTCAATCCCAACGCACTGCAACACTCCTACTTTGAATGAACTTTGATTAGGCTTTTCCCAACAACCACCGGCCGGCCCTTTACTCACGCCGTAGGCTACTCACAAACTCTCACAGGTTCACTGACCGGTCACAATGATGGCTAGAAACCGGAGGACGCGAGTTTTCTTTTTTTTCCCCCCTTTTTTGGGGGGTCATTTATAGTGACATCAGTGAGAATATCTAGATATCTAGATCTAGATCTAATCTAGATTCTCGACCCTATTATTAGGCTATTATATCTAGTGACATCAGTGAGAATATCTAGATATCTAGATCTAATCTAGATTCTCGACCCTATTATTAGGCTATTATATCTAGGCCTAGGATCACATGCGATTAAACGTAGAAAGACGTAAAGTATGTAAGGCGCCCATCTTGTTTGATGTCAGAATAGGATACCCCTCCGATCACGTAACTCTAAGTATAGCCAACCGCACGGCACCAAAGATGGAAGTGTCTATGTTCTATGCTTTCTGCACCTCTCCCTCGGAAGTTCTGATGGCTGAATAAACAGTGCGTCTGCGTTTGAAGTTGTGCATTGATTTTTGGAGCGGTTCGATCCCGGTCGCGTACAGGTTTTTTTTGCTCTTCTCCTCCTCCCGACTGATCAACAGTCCCATAAATTATAATTTGTAGAGCTGCTTTGAAGTTGTTGGTTTTTTAAAAATATATTAGTGATTAAAAATTCAGGAGGGGGGGGGGTTGTTAGATCAAGATCTAGATAACTAGATCTAGATATCTAGATCCTATATCTAGAATCTAGGAAATCAGAAATGTTACCGAAAACGCGTCATTCCATTTGGGAAGTGGCTATTCTCACCCGGGGTGAAAACACAAATACAGTCGACCTCTCACCCCGGGTGAGACTTGCCATCGTAGGCTATTCTCACCCGGTGTGAAGCAAGACCTGTTTTTCCTAATTTCGGAATACTTTCTATCGATGTGGATGATCAAATGAAAATGGATAAAGGCAAAAAAAGATTAGGCTACGTTATAGCACAAAAGTAAGCTAATTTTATCGACAACAAAGATACCATGGCTATTTCACTTTTCGAATCGAGTATCGAGCCGAACTACAGGAGTCGCCATTTTGTTTTGCCCGGAAATTCTCGCAAGATCTACTCCTCCCCTGTTCTCTCTCTCTGAATACTGTCTATCGGTGTGGACGATCAAATTGACCAAAACAAAGTTTAAAAATGATGTTAAAACACAAAAAAGTAAATTAATTTGGTCGTCTACAAAGATGCTATGGCTATTTAACTTTTCGAATCAAGCCGAACTACGCGGGTCGCCATTTTGTTTTGCCCGGAAGTTCTCGCGCTACTCCTCTCTCTCTCTCCACTGCCCACAGACAAAGTTGTACGCTTTTATGTTTGTTCATGGCACAGAATTCTACAATTTTTCTGTTATCACAGTGTAGAATTCTGTGGTTTAGGGTGAACGCAAAATTGGTTGGCCTAGATCTAGATCTAGATCTAGATCTAGGCTATAATGGTGAACGCACACCGGGTGAGAATAGCCAAAAGACTCGCCTGCGCTATTCTCACCCGGGGTGAGAATAGAGGTGGCCTTCAATTTGGGTATCCCAGGAAGTGATGACATCACAGTTACTAAGATTAGCAGCCAATCAGAAAGATGCGTCTTTTCTACATTTAACGGCATGTCCTAGAATCTATTCCTAGGGGGCCAAAACCAGATTAGAATCTACCTATCCCACCATCTTAAAATCAGCATTCACTTTCAACAGCAACATCAACTGAAAGAAGTGAAAGTTACAAAAATGTCAAAAAGGAGGCTACTCTTGAATCTTCTTACCTTACAACATTGGCATTGATCTAGATCTAGATCTAGATCTAGATCTAATTACTAATTAGTATTGACACCCCCGCCCTGCCCCGACTAGATATCTACCTCACAACACAAGGCCTTGCTTTGACAAAATCACATGTGCGTAGATATCTAGACAGACCAAAATGTCCGGCTCACCTCAACGTTATCAATGAGAATGCAAAAAAAACCCATGTAGGCCTACTGTCAACTTCCAAGTAGTGTCAGAGTCCGTGACTGAAACCAAAACAAGGCCTACAACGGGTACAACCTGCGTGAACCCATGTTTGTTTCTGAAACAGCCTGGATCTTTAGTAGAATCTAGACCTACCTGAACCTAGACAAGAGAATGATCTGGACTGAATCTATGATATTAAGAATATGACAGAAAATTCGGCATTCAATGTTAGGCAAGACTAATGCGCATTTTCCTTAGGAACCAGTTAACTATGAGGTCCGAACAGGTAGTATAGGGTGACCATAATGATCAATCATCCTGAGCTTACCGCAGACATATACCTCATCAAACACATGTAATTTTGTCACATAGTCTTTCAATTTCAACTTACCCTCCTAATTTCACAACCGACCCGTCTCGCAGTATCCTACCACGCTTGTTTTCAGTATGTTTAGTTTGCACACGGCTTCGTTGATAAATTTTGTTTCACAGTGGTTGCCAGATTTTGCTTAATAAGTATGTGGATATTATTTCGTACTTTACGGTCAGCCCTTTGATGTATCCTTGGACATGGAAATGAAATTTACTACAAACACGATCTATATTAGAGAACCTCTGTAAATTGTAATTGGGTTTCCCATGGCTCGAAATATTAATGAAATTCCGACACGATGCAGTGCATAGAAGGAACTGACTTCTAGATCTAGATCTAGATCTATCTGCAGGTCATCAAAGACTCGAAGGCCTATCCTCCGTCCCCGACCCACCCCGCCAGCGCCAGTGTAATCAGCAAGAAGGATAAGCATGAGACATCAATAGAACTCATACTCTTTCCTTTATAACAAGTCTTAGTTTTAAGTATTTCAATCAATGTAAAAATTACAATAACTGTTCCAAGAGCACAGCCGTTTTTTATTCATTGTTTATGCAAGCAGGAAGTAAATCTTTATCAGAATACTCGAAAGTGTTCATTCTTTGATGATGATATACTTTTATTCATGGCTTCGTATGCAATTAAATTCAAATCAAGCAAATGATCTTGATCTAATTTGGCCTAAAAATCGAATAGCGATTAGCTATACATTTTACGATAGATCCATGCCCTATCCAAAACTGGCAACTGGCAAACCAAGGCAAATAGGGCCTACAACTGAACTCTTAGAGAGGCAATGTTTTGCACACGGTTCGATGTCCATTTTATAACCCGAAAACAACCAATGAGGATGTACATATGATGAAAATTGACAGAGCCTAAAATGGGAGAATAAACAAAAATATTCTCTTGATTTTAATAAAACTTCTTTTTTTTGGTATGTTATTATTAATTATTTATATAATCTGTTTATATTGAAGAAAAAAACAAGTCACATGGCCAAAAAGTTGTACTTAAAAAATCTCGGTATTTAGTATGCATTTCTGTTGTTAGAGGGTCACATCCAACCAAAGTTCATTAAGTTCAAAGTTCCCAGTACCCAGGTTAAGCAACTCTTTTATTTTTATTAGTAACAATTCTTTGCGCGCGCGCGCTCTTTTGTGTGTGTGTATGTGTGTGTGTGTGTGTGTGAGAGAGAGAGAGAGAGAGAGAGAGAGAGAGAGAGAGAGAGAGAGAGAGAGCGCGTGTGTGTGCTCGAGCGCGTTTAGTCTATTTTTGACGCATGGAGAATGTTCGTTTTAACTTGCTGTTTTAGTGGATTCTCAATCAAGGCATCCTTTGTTTACAAAATAATAGCCAATGTTCCCTCCAACGAGAATGTTTGCGTTCGGAATAGAGATCTCAATTTATTTAAAGGTCATTCTACTTCGCAGTTAACATAGCACGTTGATTCCTTTTTAAGGATATATATATATA